TGGTTTCCTTTTTTCTCTCATTGCGTACTATAACTTGTTCATAATCGACAATATATTTTTACTTTCCCTTACGTATATATGTAATATATAGTAAGTGTATTACTTTCACTTACGTATATATGTAATATATAGTAAGTGTATTACTTTCACTTACGTATATATGTAATATATAGTAAGTGTAAGTATTGCGATCGAGAAAATTTTTGAATATGAGTTTTCGACGGATTTATACGTTTTGAGGTACCCTGAGTCGAAATGACCAAGTCCCGACAAATGGTCTGTGTGTCTGTGTGTTTGTATGTTAGCAGTCTAGCTCTAAAACGAAAAGTCCTATGAAACTGATATCACGTATTTAAGATAGGTATATGCCTTAGTTGTGACGGCAACTTTTTTCTTAAAATCGGCTAACCGGAAGTGCCACTTTATATCAACGCTGAAACACATTTTCACAATTTTCTCAAAAACGGCTCTAACGATTTTGATTAAACTCGGTGTATCATTGTATAATTAAGTGGTCTTTAATATAAATTAGGTCTTATCCCCATTGATGTCACTTTACAGGGCTTAAATGCCCAATGTTCATATATGTCTTCCTCTAAAGTACCTTTAATATGGTTTATTTTAGAAAGATAATTATTTCGCATTATTCAGAGTTATGAAAAAATGCTAAATATAACTTTTGAAAGAATTTGATAGGTTAATGAATGAGAAAAAAAAGAAAAATGCAGAAAAACGTAGCTATAGACTGTAGCGCCTAAACGAATGTACCGATTTCATTGAAACTTCGCTAAAGTCATTTTCTCGACACCCTTCAAATTTATCTATATAACATTCATCAGCGAAAAGAAGCTGAAAAAAAGTTACGAGGGATGGTAAAATTAAATTCCGAATAACTCAAAAAGTATACACTTTTTTGGGAATGTTGTATTATGGTTTTCTAAAATTTTATGGACTAGCCTAAAAAACAAAATAATAATCGTTAAAATCGGATAATTAGGAGATAAGATATGGTCTCTAGTTTTTTTTTAATACGTTCTGCTGCAATGGTTATATCCTTTGTTTCGGTTTTTGAATTTTGAATGTGTTAATAAGGTAATGCTAATTTTTTTAATGATGTAGAGATGGTTGACCGTTGATATAATATGAGGAGTTAGTCGAGGGTGCGGTCAAATAAATAAAAAAATAGAATATATTAATTATTTTAATTAAAATAAATAATATATTTTAATTTTTTATTTATTTGACCGCACCCTTGACTAACTCCTTCTCATAATATATTTTTTTGTTTATAAAAAATAAAATACTCTGGCCAGAGACTATTTTTCTTAAGGCTTGATATGATAGCAATACAATTGATTTTTCAACACTTTATTTATTTACTTAAATGAATATCACTGAATAAGTGGGACCGGGACGGATCTATTGAGTGCGATGTACTTCTTCATGATTTCTTTATTATCTATTCAACTGTATCTATTATCTATTTATATGATTTGGCATACAAAATGTTTTGCACGAATCAGTAAATAAAGCAAAATTCTTTTACTAACGAACTATCTAGGTCAAATTAAGGTCAACCAACGTTTCCGAATGGTAGGTTTTCTATTTCGTTTTAGGAGAAAGAAATATATAGTAAACTGATTGAATTTGAATGATGAAGAATAATGATATGAAAAATAAAAGTCATATTTATTTTTGTAGTTTTTACTGACCCCGATTCTCATTTAATTTTATTTTATTTTTCGTTATGATAATTTTGTTTACATCTCTTTGATTGTGGTACTACAGAGCACAAACAAATAGAGGAGATTAAATATCTTTCAAAAAAGAAATTCTTTTATTATTTTTTTTTTCGTTTATATAAATATTATTCATAGATATTTAATTAAATTTATTGTTTCTAACTTATTAAGTTACCCTGACTTGGATCTAGATCAATGAACATTAAGCGGGATAAGCTGTGCTGGTGGTGTCACGCCATTCCACACTTAGTGAGTTCTGTTCCGAGTTAATATCAGTGAGGGAACACCTCCATTCGATGGTAGGCCGTCGATCGAACGTGGATATGGAGCCGTTGTTGGACCTGGGAATCAACATGAGGCTGGCCAGGTACCTAGGCCTGTTCCCGGTGGCATTGTCCCGAGCCGGCCTGGCTCACTCAGCCTCTTGGCTCACCTGTACCCTCCTCATGGTCCTACTGCTTTCAGCGAACATCATCATTCACATCTTCTACCCCAGCCAACTCATGAAGAACATCAGCAAGGCTGACACTCTAGCCAACATGGCGGTCTGGATCTGCATGAACTGTGGCGTCATATTTCTTCCGATGGTAGCTATCCGCCAGCGGAGGTCACTCAACTTTATCATCTCTAACCTAACGGCTTTTAAAGAGACCTTTAGGAAACAAGGCATTCCTTGGAACCCGGGTCGTCCTTATGTCGTGTCCTTCTGTTTCGACGTTTACTTGATCTTCTTAATGATATATAACGTGATCTACTCAGTTTCAGAACTCACTGATGTACCATACATATTGGCATATTATTACAACAGTATTCTCCTAAACGAAGCACAGTCGCAGTTCATGTGGTTTGCCTTCAACTTAGCCGAAGCTTACCAAGGTCTCAGAATATCCGTGGATCGTGTGCTAAGCTACAAGGACTTTGAATATTTGATCAAGTTCCACCTGACTTTGTCGGAATGTTGTAGAGAACTCAACCAAGCCTACTCTATGCAGTTCCTCTTTTCCTTTGCTACCGTTTCCATTGTCTTCTTGAACGGTTCCTTTTCGATGATAACCGGTTTGTTGCATAAGATTGATATGGGTGAGATTGTGATATACTTGTTTTGGGTGGTTAATTATCTCTTCATATGCTTTCGGGTCATAAATGCTTGCGAGATCCTAAAAAAACAAGTGAGTTTCTAAATGGAATAGATTCTTTCAGAGCCGGAACTAGGAAAGGGCAAAGGGAGCGAGGACTTGTTCCACCGATTCCTAACTTGATGTTTAGATAAAAAATATTTCTTTCTAATTTTTTATTGTTTTTTTACCTTAATTCATTCAATAAATTGATTAACATTAAGAGACGATTATATTTATTTTGCAATATATTACATCAAATATTGTTATAAAAATGTTGAATTTTATTTGGCAAATGTAACCCTCTTGAGAAAATTCCTGGTTTCGGCCCTGAATGTGACCAACCAGTAATAAAATAGTAGTAATTTATCATATTAAATTTTGGATTGAGGCAAGGTTTTACGCCTCATCAAACTTTATTGATCTGCTCTGTTTTTTTTTCTTTTAGAAAATCATACATTTATTATTCTATTGTAGTTGAAGAAAATCTCCAGCAAATGCTATATTTTCCAAAGAACAATGCATTTAATATATTACTGATAACAATCATTTATGTGTTTCATGGTATTTTTTTGATATAGTTAAAAGGTGAAAAGAACAATGACATGTGTACTGAGGGAATATACATGAAGTGTAAAGACATACAAAAATATATAACATAATGCATGCATAATAATAGGAAATATACAGATTAATAAATATATGTTTGAAATGAAAATAATTAAATGTTTTCATGTTTCGTGAGCTGTTAATGTATTATTTATAACAAGGAAACAATGAATTATCCTTATTTTTCATGATCCATGGATTTTCCATGAGCTTTTTTAATAGATTAATAAGAGGTGAATATGGCCCAGAGCCTAAAAGAAAACTTGAACGATGGCGAAAAAAATATAGAATTTTAAAAAATAATAAAACTGTTTCAGCGATTGTAAGTAAAAGGTTTTGTCAATGATCCTGCAGGGTAGAGGCAACAAAATAATAGTTTAATTAATTTATTTTATTCAATTACATTAATTACTGTTTCTTTGAGAAGTTCAGCCACTGCATTCTAAAAGTTGGGGCTTCTACTGTTCCCAGCGGTATCAATGCGAAAACTCGCGAAATCCGATTCTTAGGGGATAAAGTACCATTTCTTTCCTTCTTGATTTTTGGTTTGAATTCTTCCATTTTACACGTTTTTTCTTAATATCTTTGAGTTGTCGTACTCATTTCCCATTCACTAGTCAATTTATTTTTAACGGATGAGGCAAGTTGTTGGGTCCAATCTTCTCTGGATTGTTTTGAATTATTGTTGTGGCTTGTGGAGTTTCTGCTGTCTAACTGAGTTGGCAGCAGCATCGGCTCCCTCATTAACACCATACACTATAATGTATTTTATTTTCTGATCTTAGTTTACCTTATGAATTCTGTATTTCTTTTATCATAATATGCTTAGCTATTAATTGTTCTATCGCTTTTATGACAAAGATTGAATTTGTTACAATAGTTTTGAAAGCAGGCTGAGCCAATGTGCAATAGAGCTTCTTTTCCAGGCTGTGGTTTCTCCAGTGAAACAGATCACTGTTCTGGAAGTTTATTTTGGAGTTCCTGGCTTATAGTAACGACTGAACATCCCATTTGGTTTCCCGACCTTTCGTGCATACGTGTGCAGAATTATATAATTGTTATATTCGTTTAACATTTCTAAAAAAAAATTGTTTCAAGTCCGAAGTAGCGTTTGATGCCAGATCAGAGACATAGATTTATAGGGATATTTGGAAGACCCTCAACTTGGAAAGTCGTTATCTGGTTGCCTTTGAATCCAATTTATTTTCATACTTGAGGCTAAAATTGTTCGAAATATTTTTTTCTTGAAGCTGATTATTTACTATGGTCTCTGAATCAAATTTGATGCATCTTCCAGATTTTTTGTGGAATTGACATTATTTTGGCCCCATATTTTGCTATCACGAATGATTGCCTTGACTTGCGAAATAGGCCCCTGAGCATATCCTTCTCGCATTACATGTTTACTGGCTCATTTATTGTTTATTTATTCATTCAACAATTCTATTAATCTCGCACTTATGATATAAATTTTTCTTATCATCTTATATACACAAATTACTTCACAAAAACCATTACTTTCATTTGCTTTTCCATAGGCCAAGAGATTCGATGACGCTATTTATGAAAAAATAGTTCAAGACCAAGCAAAAAACGTAGCGCAACCGGTAAGCATACGAGTACATCTTAATGATTTATTAATTGCATGTATTTTTCTGCACGATTTACCTTTTTTTTAATGGTTTTTTATGGCTTTTATGTTTTTTTATGGGTCTCATGGTAATCTTAGCATCCCATTCATCTCAATTTTTAATTCACATAGCTGCCAGCTTATATTTGTTTTTGACTAATTATATATATTTTTCCCTACTTTCGAAGCAATTCTTTCCTATCTCTTTGATTCAAATGATATCTATTTGAGAAGTCCCAGTTCCATTCAATAATTATATAATATAGATTCATTGTGAATGCTTTCTTTATTTATATTTTTTTTCTTCCTCTCATGAACTAGTATATATATTTTTCATACCTTGTCGTTTCTGTCCTAAAAGAATGTTATGCTCATAAAGTTGCTTAATTTATTCGTTTTCACATTTTTTGTATTATATACATATATGTTTTAATATTTACTGTAATAGAACATATAAATTTATAATTTTCTTTATATTTTACTCTACTTTATTTATTTTTACTTGGTTAGGAGGTTAGTAGAGGAATTTATTTTTTTTTTAGCTAAGCAGCGATTAGTTTGTTTCATTTCTTATCTGTATAATACACGGGTGGATTTACGGGGGTAGGGAGGGTTTTCGGGCTGAAGCCCCTCCCCCCTCCCCAAAATGTTAAAATATAATCATGTTTTATTGAAAAATATATTTAAAAAATTATCTCTTAAAGTATTATTGTTCGTTTAATTATATTTAGAAGGACTTAATGAATCACATCAACACCATTTCATACAAAGTAATTACCGTCATAAAAGTAATTATCGTCATTTTTATGAAAATGAAACGAAAAGTTTTCGGGCTGAAGCCCCCCTCCCCAAAATTAAATCCGCTAGTGGTATTATATATAGTTCAAGGTATTTTGTATATAGTTTCTTCAGTTCGGTTTGAAATATTTTGTTAATTTCGTGAGGGTTTTTTATTTATTTAATGTAACCTTTTTTATTTAATTTAGTTTTTCTTGCCAGAAGTATTTCTTTTCTTCTGTAACCTTTTGTTATTCTTAGGGGAACTCGTCCCAGAATAAATTTATTTATCAATTTCTATTTCTATTCATCTTGGTAGATAAATAGTAAACTATAGATAATATGGTTGCTGGTTGCAGTCACGGACAAAATATAATTAATAATATTTTATGCCAAAGTTTCGGCCAAAGTTTCAGACCTTCATCAGACCAAGGCAAAGCTGGATGTATTCTCTTAACGAAAGAACGAAACTTAGTCCGAAATTTTGGTATGAAAAACAATATTTATTCTTCTCTGTGACTGTTACCCTAAAAAAAAAACTGTATTGATTATTAAAAATTGTTTTCATAATCAATTTGGATACATACTTCAACCTTCTATTTTTTTTTTTCAGACGGCTGCACTAAATGTATTTCTCCACTTTCTCAGTAATGAGCCCGTCACATTCACTATGTTCAAGTTTACTGAAGTTAACTGGGGCCTATTGTTTTCTGTAAGTGGTTTATATACAAAAATCAGAGCAAGAATTAGAATTTTTGGTAGGGGAGAGGCCAGATTAATTTTGGCGCCCCTCTTTTTTTACTCTCTCCGCTCCATCAATAAAAGTCATCAATTTTATAACAGTAATTTAGGTAATATTTTGCGAATTATAATATATTATATATATATTGTACTATAATGTTTTCACATTAAATCATTGCACTCACAGAATTAAGGTTAAAACAATCAAAAAGATGGTATAAATATTTTTAATTGATCATTAAATAAAATTTCGTTTGGAATTTGCCACTCTCTAAATTTTACAGCTCTGGAGCAAGTGATTCACTTACTTTCCCTTGTTTCGGACCCGCAAACATGTTATGAGTATGTTATATTTATTATAAAATACAAGTATTTATTGTAATAATGAACTTGTTAATAAGTAAATCTGTTTACTGATTATATCGATTATGTCCAATCCTATAAATTGTAATTGGCTTTTATTTTTATTTAAAAATTTGAAGTTGGTAAGACGATACACATACTTTAGCCCCTGATGGTCAAGTATGTGTAAGTTAGCACTATCAAGTCAGTATGGCTATTTATGTTTTGGTTGGACTATTTTTAACATTTTTCTATTAGCTACTGCTGCAGAAATGAAGTATTATCGGAGAATAGCCGGCAAAACAAGGAGGAACAGAGTTAGGAATGAAAGGATACGGGGAGATGTGGAAATACCTGCTTTGAGGGAAACAGTCGAAAAGAGGCAGTTTTGATGGTTTGATCATCTATGCAGAATGGATGAGGACCGTGATCTAAAGAAGTTTTTTGAAGGTCTACCGGACGACGTCCTCGAAGAAGACTTAGATTGCTATGGATGGGCCACATCTCCAGAATTGATGAAAATAAGGAAAAATTAGCTAAGGACTGCCAGTTCTGGATCGGGGCACCTCCACGGTGAGAGGCACTAAGGAAAATGACGAAGAAGAAGAATTCTATTAAGTCAAATCCAATGTACTTTTTAGTTTGTTCCTGCGCTTTATGCATTATAAACAATGACATAACAGTGCAATAGCTGGGCTAGTGTAATTGCATATAGAATGCTCAATGGTTGACTGTAGTATAATAATGAGGAATAATATGGTCCTGGGTGGTGGTCATAAAAAAACTTAAAATAGTAAAAATATATATATATTTTTTATAGCAACGTTTTGACCCAAATACGCAAGCCTTCAATGGTTCTAGGTCTAGGAAACCTTAAGGCCTTTATCAATAAAAGGGTTTTCTAACGTAAATAGAATTTTTGAAGCAGGATGGGTAGTTCATAAAATTTGAGCTCTCAAACATAATAGCATAGTGTTATGTCTTATCACAAAAAAAGGGATGACATTAAAGTTGCTACGTTTTGGGGTGTTAAAATTTATTCGGGATGCCACTGGATAATTATTGATGATAATTACCCGGAGATGTTTAATAAAAATTAATGATGAAAAATTAGTAAAATAAATTTGGATTTATAATATATTGATTGGTCCAGAATTAATGAATTGGATTTCTTTTCTCAAAGGCTGCTTTGTGTTTATCATGCTTTCTAATTACCACACCTGTGATTATAATGATATAAATTGGTGACATGATTAAAATAACTTTTACTTACAAACTTAATTTATTTCAATTATTAATAAAGAATATATACAAATTATATTTACAAGAATTACAAATTATAGTTACAAGAATCAATGAATTCAATAATTAACCGTGAAGGCATGATTTCAGATGGACTGTTTTGAGAATTATATTGCCATGAAATATTATAACATTGGTAAATTTATTGTTGGGAATAAAACTTATCTATTGCATAGGACGTGGTGTAGTTGGTTGATTCCATCACTGCATCTGCTGATCTGAGGTCATCTCGTCATGGTTCAAAGCTTTGCAAGGATCATCATGGTCTATGTAGTTCCAAGGCTTCGGTCCCCAAGCCAGAAGAAAACGTAAGGCCCATTCTCAAGGCCGGATCTCCACATCAGACCTCTCCTCCAGGGCGGGCAGCGACATAAGCCCTTTTTCTCTCTTCTCAGTAGATTTTATAGAAATATTCAGGGTGGGGCAAGAATGGTTCTCATTGGTTGAATTTTAGTAGCATAAGGGAGGACCACGCCTCCGGGCCGTACGGCGGTTTCCTCTTTCTCGAAGGTGTTTCTATTTCCTCCCTTGCTTAGACAAGCCTTCCGATCCTCTCTAAACATGCCCACTTATGGCCGGTGTCGGTCCTTTGTTGTTTTCTTGCCCCTCAGACCCTAGTGGGTCACCACTCTCCCTCAGTTAACCGGACATGTGTTAGCATTTATTATTTAGAATATATTTCTTCATTTGAAATAATTAAATATATTCCACATGTGGTCCTTACAATACATAACAATATATTACAATTAGTTATTTTATATGATTATTTATTACAAGTAGTATATTTCCTTTAAATTAAGTATTTTATTATATTCATTAATAATTTACTAAGAGACTAATTATCATTGACTTTCCACCGTTGCAGATTATCGCTGGAGGGATCACATACCTAGTGTTCCTGATAGATGCAGACATTAATTAGACCTCAGCGGTACACTATAGCGATATTAAGCCTGCGATAAAGAATCGTTAGCAATATAAGATGCTGAGGACTGGTGAGGACATCCATTACAATCAAGACCGTCCGTTAATTTCAATCCTTCTCTATTTGTCCATATCCTTAGACTTTCATCTACCACTCTCCAGGTTACTGCTCTTCTTTTCATATTATCTGTTTTGTTTTTAACTGTCAGATCATAAAATGTTTCAATACCCATGCTTTTTACTTATTAAAACTATATTTTCTTTCAACCAATAACCGCATGATATCAGAAGAGGCCTTTATAAGCCATCCGAACAAGTTTCCTATAAACGGTAATCCATAACACTATTGAGCTGCAATCTTAAGAAGTTTTTATATTTCTCTATTAAAACTTCTCGTTCATAAACTTTTCTCTCCTTCTAGAGTTTAATGGGTTTTCAAACTTCGCCATGTGTCACCAGGAGCCCTTATAAAGTTATAATAGCAATAGTTCAACCTTATATTTGTTCAATCATCAGTCACAACATGTTCAAATATCTAATTATTATATGAAATTAATATGTTTATGTTTGTATCACAAGTACTTTTGTAGAATTTCTCTAATACATTATGTATATAATATTACTTTCGATTAATATTATTAATATTAATTCCTCGAATCCCTTAAGTAGTCGCTGCAGTCTGTCTCTCAGCTTCTTGACTCCTAACTAAGATCCACCTCCACGACTCGTCTTCGCTATCCATGGGGGCTCCACTCTGGCCAATAAGTTCCTTTCGAAATGAGGGTCGAAGAAAATTCATCAAATCAGAAATATAGAACTTCATGGTATTGTTTTGTTTTTTTAAATTTCAACATAGTTTTTAATACTTTCAGTCTATTGTTTACGTTTATCATGAACCTTTAAAAAAAACATTAAATAAATCTGTCATTTGAAATTTTGAAAAACGTCTTGGCTCCCTCACTAGGTAATGGAAAAAGAATCAGAAAAAAAAGAGAATACGGAAAAATCATAAATATTTGTTTCCTTTAAATTATAAAATTAGCACCTATAATTTCGTAAAGTAAACCATCGATATGTAGTGTGTAAATTGGTTTCTCTATGTCATAACATGCGTGACACATCAATCTAATTCTGCCAACCAGTAAATGATGATTACAACTGTATTGCCAATTCAAAGGATGTGTTCTTTTATTTTACTGTTTAGAAGATTGAGTTATTTACCGTAGTGCATAATGAGAAAATAAAGACTAAAATGTTTTTTCTATCTCAATTTGCAAAATTGCATTCGAATAGAGTTGTTACTTTATTAAGTCATTTGCAAATGAGCCACTGTCCCAAGCCTTCACTTTCAAACTAGAACCTTAGAATGTTAGAACATCCAACTGGTACCATAGATCAGGATGTTGTCAACCACTTCAACAAGACCAGCAGGGTCACCTTGCTCTTAGGAGGGTTTCCCCTCAAACTGAAAAACGACGACCTGAACATTTCATTCTGCGGTTTATTTGGTTCCTTCTTCATGTTATTCCTCTTATTGGTCTGTGTCGTGATTCAGATATATTCACCAAGTGTAATGACTAAAGGCACCATTGTCGAATGCATCTTGGTCTGGTTGGACTACGGCTTATTGCATCTAGCTGTGTTTGTATTCCAGTATAAGGCAATTCGTAAAAGGCGATTGGTGTTCGATATAATTCAGGAACTATCGAATATGAAAGAATTTCTTGAGCTGTCTGGAATACCTTGGAGGCCGAAGAGTAAGATCCACTTTTCGTTTTTCTTAACAATTCTCCTTGTCTCTTCAAAGATTTATCAGCCGTTTACGTTCCGCGTTTCGATAGGATACGCAGCAAACTTTATAGCTTTCTATTACCTGATGATTATCATAATATGGGTTGTATGTCAGTTCATGTGGTTTGCAGATTTTTTGAAGCATTGCTTTCGCGGCCTTGCGTCCTGCGTCAAGCGAGCGAGCTCAGGGGACGACCTTCAACAGCTGATGAAGTTGCATTACTTGCTGAGCAACGTTTCGAATCATCTTAGCTCTCTATACTCTTTCCTTCTCACGGTATCGTTCATTGCTTTCTTCTTCATGGCGCTGACTAGAGCTTACCTTTTAATCACCAACAGATTCGCCAGAAAATACATGTTTTTGATGTACCTTAATGTTCTTATGGCACTGATCTTAGTTCTACTTTGTTACGGTATTGTCAGTTCTTGTGAACAAGTCAGGGACAAGGTACGTGATTATTGTGAATAATAATGTTTAATTTTGTTTTCACTGTTTTTATTAATTTATGTGTATATTATGCAATGACTCAACAAAATATTGAGATTTTAACCTCTTCTATCATTTACTCATACAATAACTTGGCATTATGTGGCCTCATCTTACAGACATGG